GTATGGGGTCTCTAAGAAGATAGAGTAGGACAGAGGAGCGAGGGTCATTTGTGAGGGCTCAGGGCTTCCAGGAACTTACCTTCCTCAGCGGGGAGCTCTACCCAGAGAAAAAGAAGAAAAAAAGATTTTCATTTGGGGTTTAGTCTCAGGTCCCCCACCCCCAGGACTTTGTGGCTGAGGTAAAAGAATCACCACCAAAAGGGCACCAGGTTCATCAAGGTCATCCCTTAAAACCTCCCCAGACTCTGAGACAGACAGAGAGAGAGAGAGAGAGAGAGAGAGAGAGAGAGAGAGAGAGAGAGAGAGAGAGAACGAACACAGGAAAGGGATACCAGCCTCTCCTTGGAGGACACTTACCATTGGGGCCATACTTTTCCAGATGCCGCTTAACTTGGTCCGGGGTAAGGCCTGTGGTCTCACTCACCCCAAAATAGGCCAAACATTCCTCTGTGGTCTTGGCGTGTGCGGCCTCCATTATGCTCCCTTCTTGGGGGCCAGAGGTGGTGTGTTCTTTCTGGGGGGACTCTCACTTGTGGGGGGCCTTCCTCTGTGTCCACCTGCCTGTTGGTCTGGGTTTCTTCCCTTTTTCTCTCCTGCCCCCCCCCAGATCTCTCTTCCCTCCACAGAGCTCTGACCCTGTCCCACTTGCAGCAGCCGGCCACCCCCGTGCCCCCAGCTGGTCCTTATGAGGGAGTGGGGGGGGGCAGGCTCCCCCCCTCCCCCAGATCAGGGATTGGCTGGCTGAGACTCCAACAGGAGGGATCAGAGAGAGAGAGATTTCTGCTGACAGAGGGGGAACAGTGGGGCTGCAGCCTGAGATGTCACTCATGAGGGAAGCAAAGGTGGCGGGTGTGTGTGTTGTGGGGGGAGAATTCACTTTGTGTCATCTGCTACTGACCCCTCCCCCTGTTGCCCAGACTTCCCCCCTTGCACTGAATTTCCCACTCCATCTCATCCCCCCAGTTCTGCCCCTGAGCCCACTTCTACCCTGGGGCTCACCTTTCACTTCCCTCACACCCTCTTCATGCCCCTTCCATCCGGAGCGTGTTTCCCTCGCTACAGGCTCCTCACTCGCGTACTGGGTTGAAAGAGCAACAGAGATACCCCATGCTTCTTCGGGACTCAAGTCGGGGAGAACATCTTTTGAGGACCAGAGGAAGTGGCTCTAGAGGACCAAGGGAAGTAGGGAGGGGAGAGGGCCAAGGGACAGGGCAGAAGATGGTAACCCTACCCTAGGGAGGGGTTGCTACAGCCATCAACAAGGGATTTAGTGTCCGGGCCCTGGTGAGCAAAGCCAGGACTTCCTGGCTCTCCCCTAAACTTCCCCCCTCCCTATTGCTCTAGCTCAGCCTCTGGGAACACAGCCTTCAGCTCCCCCCCCCCATTCCTGACAGGGAATCCCCTCCCCCCAAAAATGGAACACCCAAGCGGCCAGGTAACCCAAGAGGCTACAGAATGTGCTGATGGCCAAGGGTGAGGAATAACTGTTTCAACATGGGGGCAGGGGTCACCCCAAGGCATAACATGAGGGTCACCTCACTTTATGCCACACTCACTTTTAAACGTAAGGGGTTCCTGTGGTGGACCCCAGAGGTGGGTGGTCTTCATTCTCTGGCCCTGATACAGTCAGCCTCAAGAGAGGATGAGGGCCAGACCTGAGGGTATGCTCAGAACTGGGGCTGCCCCCACTGAAGGAGGTGGAAGAGGAGGGTCGTGCCCCCCCCCGAAAGATCAATAAAGCAGAGGCCCCCAGACCAAAGGCATGGGCAGGGGCAGATTCAAGGGACAGGTCTGGGGGAAGTGACACAGCAGAGCTGGGGGGAGGAAAGTCTGAGGAGTAATGGGAAAAAGAGGGGGGAGCTGCCTGGTGGCAGCCAGGAGGGCAGGGACCCCAGGGCTGGGTGCAAAGCCACAAGTCCTTGCTGCGCGGCTGGCCTTGGTGTCAGCTTCCTCAGAGAAGCAGCTGCTCGGAGCCACTCTTCCCCACCCTGCTCCAGGATGGAGGCATCGTTTGGTTTCCATCAGGGCAGCTGCTGGAGGCATGGAGAGGGTCCCATGGGGTGCAGGCAGGCAGGCAGGCAGGACAGAGGAGGTCCCTGAGGGGCAAGTCCTTCCTGAATGAATGGGTGCAGGCCAGACTGAGAGGGTGCTTGTTCTACTTCTGCAGCACGGGCTCCTAAGCACAGAGCCTTAGGTGTGTTCTGGGTTATCCTTCTGTTATCTCTGAGCTACATCCTCCACCTTGCAAATTCTCTGTTTCTTCTTGCTTTGTAGTGCAGGCTGGCCTTGAACTAGTGGCAATTCTGCCTCAGCCTCCTGAGTGCTAGAATTATAGGCATGCGCCACTGTGCCCTGCTTAAAGATCTTAAAATCTTTTGACCTTTTGGTTTTGATTGTGTGTGTGGTGCTGGAGATTGAACCTACTCAAGGCTTTGCATTAAGCTGTGTTTCCAATTCCTTTTTATTTTTTATCTTGAGATAGTCTTGCTAAGTCAATAAATTGCCCAGGCTGGGCTAGAACTTGCAATCCTGCCTCAGCCTCCCAGAGTGCTAGGATTATGGGACTCCGCCACCATGCTTGGGGTGGCTTCTGGCTTTTTCTTTTCTTTTTTGTTGTCTGAGACAGGGTCTGGCTATGTAGTTCAGGCTGGCCTTGAGCTCACTTTGTAGCCCAGGCTGGTCTCCAACTTGCAACAATCCTGCCTCAGCCTCCCAAGTGTTACAGGTATGTGACACCTCACCTGGCCTTTTTTTTCTTCTTCTTTTTTCTTTTTCTTTTCTCCTGCCTCTCTCCCTCTCTTCTTTCCATTAATTTATTTGGCAATATTGGAGATTGAACTCAGGAAGCACTGAGCTACATCCTCAGCCCTCTTTATTTTGAGACTAAGTTTTGCTAAGTTGCCGAAGCTGGGCTCAAACTTGCAATCAGATCACCCTACCTCAGCATCCTAAGCAGCTAGGACTAGAGGTATGTGTCACCATGCTGGCTGGAAAGGGATAGTAAGGCTGTGTCCTTCCCTGGGGCTCAGGCTCCCAGGCAGAGAACAGCACAGGTGGTGGCAGAAAAAAGAGGAGCCCAGCTTTTGGGGAAGGGGATGGAGCTTAAGGCTTTGGCCTCCCAGGCTCACTTTCTGCACTTGGGCGAGGGACAGTCTCGGGTGAGCCGAGGACAAGGCGTTTCCTCCCTCCCCTTTCACAGCTCCAACAAACCCCTCCCCTGAAGCCGAGTCCTGCTGTGACCTGGGGGGGGCTCAGACAATGGGCTGTGTCAGGGGTCACATCAGCAGGCCCCTCCACCTGGCCCAGCACCCACCTCCTCGGCCCAGTCAGCTCAGCATCTTGGAGCCTTTTGGCACTGGCTGGTTTCTCCCCAGTGGCACCTGGAGGAGTGACAGCACCACTGTCTTACAGCAGCAGGAATGCCCAAACAAGGAGGGGGAGCCGAAGACGGGGAGCTGAGCCTGGGAGCAGAGGAGAAGGCAGGCTTTACAGGGCGCTTCTGCCAGCAAGGCCCTTTGAGGTTATCCGTTTCTGCCACCTCCAGCTTCCCAGAGCAGTAGGCCGAAGCCAGAGGGAAAAAGAAGGGTCTCTTAGGAGAAGGCATAGGGGCAGGTGGGCTCTGAGGAGCTCCCAGGCCCCCTCCCCATGGGGTCTTCTTGCCCAGGGCTGGCACTGAGGGATCGGAGAGTCCTAACTGTAAAGGATATGTACGTAGGGCCTGGCCAGGTCCAAACTTCGGCTTAACTATCTGTATACAGAAGCTGGGGGAAAACTGTCTCCAGCCTCCTCCAGCAGAGAAGTCAGTCTGGGCAGTAGGTGGGTGTCCTCAGCCTGCCCCCTCCATTTCTAGAAGCCAAGTCCCTGAAGGCCAGCAGGGTTTGGGGAAAGGGGGAGCCTGAGACCAGCTGCCACTAGCTTAGGAGGATCAGGCCCTGCCTTCCCTGGGCGCCACAGCCCCTGCTGGCCACCTCACTTTGAGAACGAAGCACCCAGGTGGCCATAGGACCATCCCCCTTTCAGGGCCAACTCCATCCACAGTCTCCTGAGGCCAAGTTTTTGGGGAGCCCCAGGGATGAGACACCACAGGGTGAGCCAACAGGCTTCCCCCGGCCAGCCCCCAGCCTGGGTAGCCTGTGTGCCCAGCTGTCTCCTGTCCATCTCCCCGCAGGACGCGAGGCCCAGAATAGCAAGGTCATGAGCGTGGGTAGCACCTCCTGGAGCAGGGGCAGAGGCTGAGGGGCAGGAGGGTGGCAGTTCTACCCACCTAGGGGCAGTGAGTGTGGGGATGGGAGGGAAGGGCCAAACACACAGGGAGCCTCGTCAGACCCTGGCCATCCTGTTGGTGCCCGCTGTCTAGAGCAGGGACACAGGCTTGCCCTCTGCAGGAGGAGGGCACAGCCCAGGTGTGGGCAGGTGGCTTCCGAGAACAGAGACCTGTGCTGGTAGGCTGGACCTCCGCAGCTGGTCAGCTGGCTTTCAGGGGGTCAGTAACCTGGACTGGACGTTGACACAAAACTCAAAGGAAAACAGTATCCAGGCCAATGGAGTCATTTCTGTACCACTAAGGTGATGCTTGCTGGTTTAAAAATGAGTCCACTAAGACTCAGACTGGCTATGCCTTGTCCCCAGGTCACCCAACACATAAGTAACAGGTAAAGCCAGGCCCGCAGATCGGTGCCCAGTCTATGGCTGTCTGGCCTCCGGCCCCTCTATAACCAGCCTTGACCGCCACTTCAAATCCCAGGGCAAGTCGCCTTGTCCCCGCCCCCACGGCCTCTGTGCTTTCTTCCTAGGCAGGGAGCCTAACCAAGAACCGAGGAAGGAAGAACACCCGCAGTCATCAGCTCTGTCACAGCAGGGCACTGAAGAGGGACAGCACTGCCGGACACAACTTGACACTCACAGAACCAGACAGGGCCCAGGAGTGCTGACCTCCCAGTTCTGACCACAGTGTGGATGGGGCCACCAAGTCCCCACAATAAGCACACAGTAACCACCCCAGAGCTGAGATAACCCCTTTTATTTATGTATGCTTCTCCATTTTGTTTAAAACAACAACAACAACAACAATCTTAATATAACTGACAGCCCTTCCCCCTCAGCCTTGCTTGGGCAGGGGGGGGTGGTGGTTCAGGGGGAAACGGCCCCCAGCCAGGGGGGCTGGCTGGAAGAGCCCCTCAGGGAGGTAATGGGGCCCAAATCCCCTGTCTAGGAAGGGGCACCTGTAGTGTAGGAGTCGGGGAGTTACGAGGGCCCTGAACCACTGCTTGTACCGACATCTGCGTGCCCTGGGCTGTCAAAGGCCAAGAAGCATCTGGTGCCCACACCTCCCTTCTCTGTGTCCCTCTGTGTCCCCAACTCAGGAACCCAAGGCCCAAGGCCGGGAGCAAGGGAGGGTCAGAGGGTGGGGCAGGGCGGCTCACACAAAGGAGTACTGGTTATTAATGGCTCTAGGATGGCCCCCTTCCTCTCCCGCGCCCCCTAGTGGTAACTGCTGGAGCTGTACCATTGGAGCAGCGCCCCCACCAGAGCCAGCACCACCCGGGGCCTCCATGCCTGGCGCTATGACCTCTTCCAATTCAACCACGGGGACCAGCTCAGCCACGGGGACCAGCTCTTCCTGGACCCCTCCACTGCCCGCTTTCTCTTTCTCTTGCCTCTCTTTGGCTGCTGCGGCTGCGGCTGCCGCCACTTCTGGCGCCCCCGACGCCTCTTCTGCCCCAGGATGTGGGGGATCTGTCCGCGAAGGGGGCTCAGGGGGTTGGGGTGGGTCATGGGAGGTGTTCGATTCTGGATGAGAACAGTAAGAAGACAGCCCGATGGTGGGGGGAGGCAAGCGCCACGGTGGCCTCCCCACCGCTCACCCCCCCAGCCGTGTGCTATCTTCTCCGCATCCCATTTCCTGAGCAACCCCCCTCCATGGAGATGGATCATGGGCGGCGGTGAGAGGAGGACCACACTTACACACAGTCACTCGCTCCGAAGGGCATGAGGGTGGAGGAGGCATCGGGGTGGCATCGATCTCCCTCGCACACCCCCGCATGGCTCCCGGCCTGCTCCCGGCCTGGGGGGGAGGGGCAACGTGGGGACAGATGGGGCGTTGGGGTGGGGGAGAGGGAGAGATCAGACAGGGACATCAGACATGGAGGGAGGGGGCCAGACCAAGCACCCCCGAAAAGGGCAGGCCCGAGGCAGGTGGTGACGACGGGCAGAGACAACCAGGGAGGATGGAGCCAGGGACACACGGATGATGGCGCGACGGGATCCGATGGAATGGGGATGCGTCAGCCCAGCTCTCCACTGCCTCCCGGCCCCGCGAGGAGCCTCCGCCTGCCTATATCCTAGCGGCCACCCAGCAAAGGAGCCTGGCCGCCCTGCACGCCCTCCAGCCTCGCCTCAGAGCCCCCCGCCCCGGCTTCCTGGCGCACACACCTCACTTCTCGGGTGCACGGGCACCTCCCCTGCAGACCTGCTCTGCTCACCCTGCTGCCGTTGGGAGGGCACATAGCTGACAAGGACAACGTCACTGGAGCCTCCAGACTCCAGAGGGATGGGGTGCACCCGGAAATGCTCGAGCATATCGAAAATGGACTGGAACCACAGGTGCTGGACCCGGCACTGACCCTCCTCATTCAGTGACAAGCGCAGGTGCTGAGGGGCGGAGGATCAAGTGAGGCCAGGGCTCCCTTCAGGCAAAGCCTCCCCCCACCCCCGGGCACCAACCGGACCACCCTCTGCACACCACAGGCCTGCTCACCTTGGCCTTGCCCTGGAAGTTGAAAGTGAGGACATATTCACCCCGCCTCGTCTCACTCTGACGCACCAGAAAGACCCCGTGGGAGCTGGTGCCTCCTTCCAGCACTAGCTGGGCAGCCTTGAGTCGGGAAAGCATCCCATGGAACCAAGGGTATCCTGAGAGAGGCTGGTCTCCCTCCCCTGCCTCCGGCTCCTGGAACAGGAAGGACCCTTCAGGAAGGAGAGAGGAGGAAACCAGGGTGTCAGGGAGGCCTCCCGCATCCTGGGAGAAAAACCCAACCCTTCCTTTCCCCATGCCTGGCACCTCCTCAGATCTGTTCCACTCCCTCCCTCTGACCAGATCCCAAGCCAGAAGCCTCTGGAGATAGATATGCACGCCTCAGGTACCTGGGGCTGTTTCTGGAGTGTCCAGAGGAGGATAGGGGGTCGAGAGAGGATGAGCAGCCCCTGCCGGGGGCCCCTCCTCGATGGGAATGCGAGGGGGCAACTCTGGGGGCAGCAGCTCCACCGAGTCAAAGTGGGAGGCGGCCACGGAAGCCGAGCTGGGGGAGATGGATGCGGAGGGCCGGTCTGATAGGCCCCCGTAGGCCCCTGGAAAGGAACAGAGAGCAAAGCCGAAAACTTGAGCTCCTTCCCCAAGGCCTTGCGCTCCTACCGGTTTTCCCATCAGCAGTCCCTGGACTCCAAGGAAGACAGGGACCTGACAGTTTTACCAACAGGCCCAACTGATGCTTCTTACACCGTGGTTACTGTACATCCTAAAATTCAACTATGCCCCTGGCTTCTAGGAATCAGTCTCCAGCCCAGCTGGTTTGTTTTCTGAGACAGGGTCTCCCCTTATAGCTCAGGCTGACTTGGAGTTCCCCAGCTACTTAGTGACCCTCGTTCTGATCCTCCTGCCTCAGCCTCCAGAGTGCTGCGATTATAGATGTGTGCCGTGTCTGATTTAAAAGCTCCCAATTCTAAGAGGCAACAACAACAACAAATCCTGATTAATTCCCCCTAAACTAAACCAGCTTATCTGAAAGCAGGCGCAGGGGCTGGGGGTTCGATCCCCGGACCTGTTGTGCCGGCCCTGCCCCTGGGGCGCGCTGAGACGGCAATTGAGACTGGGTGTGGTGGCATGTACCTGTAACCCCAGCTCTTCGGAGGCTGTAAACAGGCAGATCACTACAAGGCTAATCTAGTAATGAGACCCTGAACACCCTGTAGACCCTTCTCTAAAATACAAAAAATAAAAAATAAACCAACTTATCTTTACCTGAACTTGTATCTATGCTGTGCTGACCTAACGCCTCTTTTCTCTCACCTCCTCAGCAGCACTCTATTCCACCTTCCCCTGCTTGCTACCTCCTGGACTCTCAAGGTGCTTCCTGCTGCGCTGTGTAGACAGCACTAAGTACAGACCCTCCATCTAGGGGACCCACTTCTTGCTGGGAACGATGTCTTGCCAACCCAGCTGGACTGGGCCCAGGGGCAGGCAAGGACCCATCTCAGGCATTTGAGCTCCTCCATTCTGCCCCAGGCCCTACGCGGCCAGGGACACGCTGGGGGCTGCCCAGCTCTACACGAAGGTCATCCACAGGGTTCAAAAGATGTGTGGAGTGGAGAACAGCAGACCAGGAAACAGGACGGCACAGCCTACACTTCTCGGTGACTCAGGTGACCTCAGAAAAACTTCTTCCTTCCCCTGGTCTGGGCTCCCTGAAATATGAGCTGGAAACTCCATTCTAGCTTGTGGACTCTAAGATTTCTTTCTTTCTTTTTGCAGTACCAGGGACTGAACTCAAGACCCTGCACTTGCAAGTCAAGTGCTTATTCTACTAAGCTATCTCCCCGGGCCCCTAAGATTCCTTTTTCTACCTACTGGGTACAGCCTGTGTGCCAGGCTGAGCACTGGGCACAGGGAGGATGAAACTGGATCAGAAGAAAAAGGAGAGCAGAAGCTGAGTCTAAAAGGGGGGCCAGGCACTCCTGTGTGCTGTGTGGTTGCCTGAAAAAGCACACACTTGGCAAAAGAAAATCTGATGCCCTCAACATGTGCAGAGACGCAGGTTAAGAACGAATTAAAGAGATCACTGAGGTGCTCCAGATGTTGGAGAAGACAGCCATTAACTCCAGCTGGTGGAGGCCTGGAGGACACGTGGACAAAGTGACACGGCCAGGAGAGTAGGAGCTGGCTGGGACCTATGTGGACAGTAATGGCTCCAAACGGCAAGCTGGGGCTAAGAATGTCATTCTGTGTGTGCCTGTGGGTGCAACCCCCAGTACCACAAAATTAGCTATTTAAATTTTAAAAGGCAAGCAGTGATCCAAGAGGGCCTGGCACATTCGGACACAAAAGACAAGCAGCAGGAACAGGAATGGGGGCTTTGGGACGTCCAGTCTCTGAGGCGCCAGCTCACCCTGCGACAGGCGGTCGTTGCTCTCACTGGGCCCCAGCAGCAGATCCTGGCTGCGCAGACTCTCCGAGTGATGTAGGCAGGGGGGCTCCAGGCTGTCTGAGTTCTCCTTTGTGAGGAAGGAGGTCCCAGGGGCCAAAGGAAGGGTCATGGGGCGAGGGCTGGTCGCAGGGCAAGGTCTGCAGAGACAAGGGAAACGGTGCTGGAAAGGTGCGGTGGAGGCCAGGTGCGAGGCTCCCCCCACCCTGCCCGCGCCTCTCAGTAGCAGCAGGCAGGCTCCTCACCCTGGGCTCAGGCACTCCTGGATGTCAGACACCCAGGCCTTCACATGGACAGCGTCGGTTGCCTCCAGGATGTACTCCGAGGGGCCTTCCACCTATGAGGCCAGCAGACACGCTCTCAGGGCACCCGGCACATGGGAGCTACCCGCTGCCAGTGACACCTGCCTAAATGTGCTGAGGGCTCCTTCCTCGGCACAGGCCCTCGTCGGGGCCTGGGCTCGGCAATCCTACCTTCACCACAAACGTGTTCTCCCGGTCAGGCATCTCTAGGGCTGTGGTAGTCCGAACGTCCGTGATGGTTGAGCAGGGGATGCTGAGTCGGGGCCGGGACGCCTAGGCAGAAGCAGGAATGAGCTCTAGTTTGGGGTACAAACCACCCCCCACTGCTGACCGTTCCTATGTTACAGGGGAGCTGGGCAGAAGGCGGCAACACTGCACTTGGCGCTGCCCACAGCTAATTCAAGAGCTCAGAGCTAGATCTAAAAACCAAAAGCCAGCCAGGCTACCTGAACGAGTAGGCAAACCCCATCCATGGCCAAAGGTACCGCTCCAGCCAACCCATCACCAAGCTGCAGCCCCAGACGCTCCTCCTCTCCTCACCTTGGGTGGAACAAAGAACTCCAGGCGACTTCCTCCTCCTGCTTCTCCTTCACTGCGCAGCAGTAAGCGACACTTCTGCCACTGAGGCTGCCCTCCTCCCCCTGGGGCCAGCCCAGCTGCCCCTCCTGCCCGGCCCACTCCAGCAGGGTCAGGGGCAGCCTCTTCGGCCCCCATAAAACTCAGCAGCTCTTCCCTCTGCACGATCCCTGATCCATCCTTCAAGGTCCCCCCACCCCGACTCAGTCGCAGCCTCTCAAAACGGTGAGTCCATCTCTCCCCAGGAGACGTGCCGTCACCAACCAGGCCCCTGCCAACAGTCCCGGCCCCACCAGAGGAGTTGGAGTTGCTGTTTCCACCTAGGACAGGGGGACTTGATGAGGTGTCCAGGGGCCCAGCTGGGGATGGAGGGTCAACAGACCCCCGCCACTGCAGGATGCCACGGACTGAACCTCGGACCGAGCGACCCACTGAGCGGAGGGAAAAGCGTTTCTTGAGCTTTGGCTTCGAGGAGGTCGTCGAAGAAGAGACTGAGGAAGGGAGGGGGCCAGCCAGGTCCTCAGATGATCGAGAAGGGCCGAGCACAGCCAGGGGCCCACCCACCCTGCAGCTGTCAATGGACAGGTCGTGAGAAGCCGGGATGTCCACACCAGGACTCAGTGGAGCCAGAAGGGATGGCGAGATGGAACCTGAGGCCCGGGCCACCTCAGCTTCAAAGTGCTGCAGGAAGAGCTCAGCAAACCGGCGGGAGAAGGCGGCCTCAGCCCCAGGCCCTGCGTACTGTGGGTGGGAGGCCAGGTAGAGGCGAAAGCGACGGGCAAAATCCAGGGCTGCAGCCCTGGCATGGGACTCACAGAACTCCCGCCAACTGGGGGGAGGGGGTGGCGGCAGGGGAGGGGGCGACGGGGAGGCCCCATCCTCTGGGGAAGGGGTACCATTCATGATGGGCCCCAGGAGGTGGAGAGGGAGAGCCTGTGGGGAGGGGTGGCGAAGAGGGACACGGCCAGAAGATGTGGGGTGTGCGGCAGCAGCTGCAGGAGGAACAGAGAGGCACACGGAGAGTCACTGCAGAGGTGGGACAGGGAGCACGTCCCACCCCAAACCAGGACTCCCTTACTCTGGTTAGGGCATTGGCCAGCAAGAGACCCAAACTGCCTCCTTTCACACTCCCAGACCCACAAAGCCATGCAGCTCAGGAGTGTCCCCCCATCTAGCCTGTAGCTCTCCTGCCCCCTTTGCAACCACTCTCCAAGAGCAAGATGTTCTGGGGGGACCTTCCTCACCGGGCACTCCTTTCCAGACCCCAATGTCCCTTCCCTAAGGCAGAGCCCCCCACTGTCGCTCACACACTTCCTTTGGCCACTTAAGGAGGCTTCCATGTGGTCATCTTGCCTTTCCCAGGGAGATGATTTAATAACCTTTCTACCAGCTGAGCAAACCGAAGGCTGAACAAGTTTCAGGACTCCTAGTCTACTGTTTTCCCCACTGTATAGGGCTTGTCCCTAAGGGCTGGCTGGACCAGTCTCAGCCGCACTGCCTTACGGCCCCAACTCGTAAGGCACAGGCTGCGTGCTAGGACTGCGGAGTTCAGACTCTGCTTCCTGCACCCTGGAGGCTGGCTCCACAGAATTTCCTTAGACGCTGACTGCCTCAGAGTCCAGCACCCAAACACTGTGTAACGGAGCCTCAGAGCGGCCGCAGCCCGCTTCTCAGGTGCCTGCTTTAGCGTGGGTCCCCAGGGCAGAAGCACAAGAGGCAATGCAATGGTAGGCCGGGTCAGCGCAAGTCTTTGCCGCCTATGACAATCACAGGGAACTAATGCTTCTCCTTGTCTTTTTGCTGTCTGCGGGCAGTGTGTCCTCAAGGCTGGTGAGGATGGTGGCCGAGGGCACAGGTTCTGGAGTCAGACTTGAGCTGAAACCCCAGCTTGGCCACCTCTCAGCTGTGATCACGAAAGATCACACATCATCTTTTGAGCGCCACTTTTCCCAGCTATAAAACAGATCTAAGGATCCCTACCACCCTCCAGTCGTTGGGAGAATGAAACGGAACCGGAACATGCCAGTGCTTGACACAAAGCGAGCCCAGGAGAAATGACTGCCATTATTACTATCTTTATGGGGGAGGATAGTATTAGAGTTCCAATTTTCTAAGAGCACAATTAGAGAATGGAAGGCTTCCTAAGGTTTTCCGACTAGGGAGAGCTGGGTGTGGAATTTACAACCATGGGTTTTTGGTTAGGGCTCCTCCCTATGCCATCCTGGAGGGCCAAGGGCCCAGAAAGGGGGGGGGGGGTAGCTCAAGAAAGCCTCTCCAAACATCAGCAACTCTACACTCCCAACTCAAACCGCAGCCAAGCTGTACGTCGGTGACCCCTCCCTTTCTTTCTTGGCCTCAGCCCTACACACTCAGAGTGCCCCAACCCTAGGGACAGCTCCAGACCCACGCGATGCAGCCAGGAGATGCGGGAGTCTTGCAACCGAGGGGAACAGAGCCAAGAGGTACAGACACAGCAGGGACGGAGCCCCAGCCTGAGGCCACCTTGGCTCACACAGACCCACCCAGCCCTCTGCACCAACGGCAGACCCAGCCCCCTCCAGGCCCGCTGACCCTGCCGCTCCTGAGCTGGTGACTCAGTTTCTCTTCTGCCCAGCAGGACTCAGGTACATTTTCCCGATGCACCTGCCTCTTGGCTCGGTTCTGACATTTCCCGAAGGGCGGGTGGTGGAGGGTGCAGGCTCCTCTCCTGGATCGCACCCTCTGGGCCTCGTGGTCAATCCACTCTGACCCGACCCTGCTTACGGGACACCCCAGCCCCCAGCGCCCACTCCCCGGGGCCACAGCCTCTTGGGCACCAGCCCTGTGCGCTGCACTCCGCGGGGCCAAGTGCCCCTCTTGCCCTGGGGCCCCACGCCCACCCTGACCCTGGGCCCCTCTCAAGCTCTGGGCCGGGTCGCTGCGAGGGAAGAGGCACTTGAAGAGGGGGGTTCCGGTTCCGGTCCCACCTGCATCTCGGTCCCCGCGGTTAGCTCCGGCGGCGGCGGCGGCGGCTCCCGCTCCCTGCGCCCCTCCCCCTCCGCGACGAGCTCCCAGCCCGGTTCTGCGCAGGCGCGGGGACTTCTTTTCCCGTCGCGGAGGGAAGCGACCATAGAGGAGAGCGACGAGAGGGAAAGGCACTCTCGTACTCACTTCCGCCATCCTCCTGCTCGGGACAGACCCTGCAGGGACTAGGAGGAGGCTGAACCTTGTGGGGCGTCAGCGACCTCTCCCGGTGCACCTAGCAGGGGGCCCCACCGGGGCAGCGGTGAGGAGTCGGGTGCCACCCGAGCGTCGCCTCGGAAGAAATTCGGGACAAAGAAGAGAAGCCCACCATAGAGAATCCACTTTTTGCAGGGTAGAGTCCCTAGAGTGGCCGCCGAGTGCCGGAAACCAGCGAGATGACAAGGTTCTGCGAAGGACCCGCGGCAGCCTAGAGCGCCCGGCCCCCCGCGACTGCGGGGGACGTGGACACCGCCCCCAGGGACCGGGGCCGGGAACGGAGGGCGTGACCTTGGGGAGGACCCTCAGGACGGGAGGCCTGGAGTTTAGACTTCGGCAGTGGAGGGGATTCCAGCTCTGGAACAAGAAATCGGGGGATGGGAGGCGACAACAATAATAAGATCAGGCTTACACGAGGCATCTAGCAGCAGCAAGGCCAGTTACAGGAACCAAGACCCGTTAGTATAGACGGTGCTTGAAATCACGCGCCCCAAGAGCCTCTAGCAATCCGGTCTCGCTGCCCCAGCTCTGGCTAGCCCAAACAATAAGGAAATCAAGTAATTGAAAAGACCACTGTGGATAAGGATCCGCTGAATACAGGACCCGAAGATGTTAAGGAACCCGTGGTTCATGATCTCTGTTTCTGCTTTACCCACCAATTTGGCTTCACTTCGGCAGGCTTTCGTCTGTCTGCACATTTAAAATCCTAGTAGCTTAGAAACTTGGTGGGAGAATGTTCCTCTTCTGACATTGTCAGTAACATTTATTTATTTATTTATGTATGTATGTATGTATGTATTTGGTACAGCGTCTCACTATGCAGCTCGGACTTGTAGTGATCCTCCTGTTTTCGGCCTCCCCAGCGCTCGGATTACAGGCGTGCGCTGCCAGGACCGGACTCGGAGCTGGTTTAGCGCTCCAAGGGCTGGTGCAGCATGTGGGACCGGGGCATTGAACCCTGGACCCTGTGCTTGCCAAAGCAGGTGCTTAGACCCCTGCGCTATCTCTCTGGCCTTTATTTATTTGGTACTGGGGATGGAATTTGGGACGTTGTACTTGCCAAGCAGGTGCTTATGCCGCTGAGCTATCTCCCCAGCCCGTCAGTAACATTTTTAGAACTGACACGGTGATTGGATTGAGTGTCCTCCTGGAACGTGGGGATGAGTGACCCAACAGACAGATAAATGCCCTGGCTCACGCAGGAATGTATGTTCAAGGCTGAGGCCAGGGCTGCCAGATGGAGTTCTGGGCTAGCCCGTGTTGTCACCCAGCTCTAAGCAATCTAATGTCAGTTCACGGTGGCCTTTATTTAGGTCTGCGTCACCAGATTTCCCCATCCCTTTTCCTACTTGAGAGGATGTCGGTGAGAGAGACTCCACTCCTACTGTGTACCTCCCCATGCCCTTACATAGCCTTTCTCTAGAAGAACACAATTGAGGAATATGGAAAGGCAGCGCTCTGCCGCTAGCGTGACGTCTCTTGGGTGTGGGGGTCAGACCATGCTGGGGGTGTAACTCGGTGGCAGAGCACTGGCCTAGCAGTGGCCCAATAAAATTTTCAGGGATGACAGAAGTAGTCTATGTCAGCACCGTCCAGTACTGTAGCTCCCAGCCACATGGGGCTGTTGGGCACTTGGAGTGTGGCTGGTGACAATGGGGGTGCTGGTACACACCTGTAATCTCAGCACTCTGGGAGACTGAGGCAGGAGGCTTGCAAGTTGGAGTCCATCTTGGACAATATAGCAATTTAGTGAGATCCTGTCTCAAGAAATATTAAAAGGGCTACATTTGTAGCTCAGTGGAGAGGTCCTGGCTTTAGCCCCCAGTACTGGGGGAAAAAAAAGGCCTGTATGACCAAGGAGTTAAGGGGTGTGTGTGTGTGTGTGTGTGTGTGTGTGTGTGTGTGTTGGGAGGCAGGGGCTGGACCACATCTCGAGCCCTTATTTTTTTGTACATAATGTCTCCCTGCCAGGCATGGTGACGATGCCTGTAGTTGCAGCACGCGGGAGGCTCAGGCAGGGAGAGGTCAACCTGAGCTACAAAGTGAATTCAAGTCCAGCCTGAACTGCATAGTAAAACCCTTGTCACAAAAAGACCAAAGGGAGAGGGGGAAAGCCTCTGTAAGTCCCTAAATTGCTCAGACTGGACTCCAACTTGGAATCCTACCTTACCCTCTCAGAATGCTGAGATTTATTTTTTGTTAAAGGGTCTTGCTACACAGTTCAGACCCCTAGTGATCCTCCTGTCTCAGCCTCCCCAGCATTGGGATTATAGGCGTGTGCCACCATGCCAGATTTTGGGACCAGCACAGCATGCACTACCGGGGATCAAACTTGGGTCCTTGTGCTTGCCAGGTAGTCACTTAAACCACTGAGCTACCTCCCCCACCCTCTACAAAATTTTAATGAGTTTAAATTGTCTTTTTTTTTTTTTTTTTTTTTTGGTGTTACTGGGGATTGAACTCAGAACCCTGCGCTTGCCAGGCAGATGCTTATTCTACTAAACTATCTCCCTGGCCAGTGAGTTAAGATTAAAACATCAGTACACTAGCTACTGTGTTAGTGAAGGAGGCATTCTTGTACAACTAGTTGGAGTTGTCTAGCAAAAATGGACTGATAGTCTGAGCTGTACAAAGCAGTTTGGTAATCACATGTGAGTATTAGTTGAATCCATGGATTTATTTCACCTAAGAGTGTGGACTGAAGGTGGATCCATTTTCTTAAAGTCAAGGATTCCCAGTATAGAAGAAGAAGAAAAAAGAAAGGAGGAGGAAGGGGAGGGGGAGGGGAAAAGGAAGAGGAGGAGGAGGAGGGGAAAGGGAGGAGGAAGAGGAGGAGGAATACAAATGCACAAATAAAAATGACTGTTGGAAAGGAAGGTCTAAATGAAAGGGGATATAGGTGTGTGTGTGTGTGTGTGTGTGTGTGTGTGTGTGTGTGTGTGTGTTGGGGACAATCTAGTTTGTGTCTAGATGTCCCCTCAAAGCCTCATGCAATCATGGGGGTGACAAGTGCCTTGTCAGAAGTAGCTGAGACTAGAGTTGTGGTTGATTCACAGTCTATTACTGAGATTAAGGGTGAGTGCTACATCGGCCCTAGGGCAGGTTGCCTGCATGCAGGCCTCAGAAAGAGGCTTGTCCCCAGCTCTCATTGCTTGTGGTATCTATTTCCACCATGAGCAGTTTCCCCTGCGCTCTGCCACTCTGCCTTGGAGCCAGCTGATTATGGACTGAAACCTCCACAGACTGGGAGCTAAATCAACCTTTCCTCCTTTAGCTTTGGTTGTTGGATATTTTGTCCCAATGACAAGAATAGCTAAGGCAGAAAGGACCCCTGGCCTTCCTGCCTCAACCTCCCGAGTCCTAGGGTTATAGGTGTGTGCCACTGCGAACAGGTCCCTGCTGCTCTTCACCTGCACCCAGTGCTCCTGGGGCTGGCCTGGAGTCTACAGCCTGGTGACCCAGGGTCTGGGTAACTAGCCCAGACTTTCTTTTTCAAATTTTATTTTTGTATTTTTAGGACAGGGTGTACAGGGTCTCAATGCATAGATTGGACTTGAAGTGATTTTCCTGTTTACAGCCTCCCAAGTGCTGGGATTACAGGCGGGGGCCACCATGCCCAGTGACAATCGCCTTCTCAGCATGCCCCAGGGGTGGGGCCAGAATGGCAGGGCAGGGGATTGAATTCCCAGCCCCTGTGTCTGCCTAAGCAGGCGCTTTAATCTGCTTAGCTGTTTGGCCAGCCCTCTAATTTTTTTTCCATAATTTTATTGAGAAACAAATATCAATGAGATAGTTTCAAACCAAATTGGTAGGACAGTTTCAATAATTAACACATTGCATACATTCTTCCTAGTGGTTAATTGCTGTACAAGATGTGGACATGATATCCCATTTACAAACACCATTAGAACAAATCCCTCTATTCATTAAGAGATAACTATATATCCTAAACATTTTGAATACACAGATATAAAATGGACATTCATCTGTATCCCCTTTTTTTTTGTTAACTTCCGTTATTTGAATATTATAGGTGTGTAAACTCAGCAAAATATTCTAAAAGAGTCCAGTAGCCCATAATAGTATTGGGTCTTCCGCTTCGCTGGCAATGTCAGAAGTTGTTGACCTGAGTCCCCTACAGTTCAACATAACAGCATGGCTTTACTTCTTATACTTCGTTTTTATACTTTTCTGCTGGATGGTTAAGACCAAGGTAAAGCAGGACCTATGCAACAAGAGTTGTAGCTTTTGGGTCTGATAAGGTCAGTGAAATCCCCTCAGGATTTATCCTGAGATCCTGTACCTCAGATTGTAGATCCTTTGTCAGTGTCAGCCATGTGGATGAGTCATGGCCATTGCTTGGCCAATGTGCTCTCTGTGAAAGCCTGAGAGAATGTTTTTCTCTCCAATGTGACTCTCCTTAGGCACACTCTACATCATCGATCACTTTCCTCTTTGGCCCTATAACCTCCTTGATCAGAAAATTTGGGACGCTACCGAGCTACATGACGTTACAGTACAAGTTCTCATATGTCCTGAGTGTTAATTGACCTTGGAAGGCTAGAGCCAAAATGTTCAGCCCTCAGATTTTAAAGAGGAAAAAAAAAAAAGTAAAGCAAAATTTCAAAACGATCATAGGAAATTAACATTGGTTAATACATTCAATATTTTCATGTTTACATTAGCAGGCTGGTGAGATAGCTCAGCATACTAAGTGCCTGCTTAGGCAAGCACAGGGACTGGGGTTCGATCTCCGGCACCTCATGCCAAGCTGGTGTGCACTGAGCCAGCCGCTGAAATCAAGCATGGTGTCACACGCCTGTAATTCCAGTGCTGGGGAGGCTGAAAACAAGAGGATCGCTACGAGTCCAAGCTGTATAGTAAGACCCTGTACCAAATACATTAAATAAATAAAGTTACTCAGAGTACAAGATAGAGGCATTTAATTGTCCAAACAATATTAGCACAAACCTTTCTTTTCAGAGGCTGGGGAGATGGCTCAGTGGAATAAGCGCTTCCCTGGCAAGCGCGAGGGCCTGAGTTCAATCCCCGGTTCTGAAAAAACAACCAAAAACGTTCTTTTCAGTGAACCAAGAGTAGTAATATAATTATCTTAACGTGTGTGTGTGTGTGTGTGTGTGTGTGTGTGTGTGTGTTTGAGATAGGGTCTGGCTGTGCACTTCAGACGGGCCTTGAGCTGACTTTGTAGCCCCACCTGGTCTTTTTTTTTTTTTTTTTGCGGAACCGGGGATTGAACTCAGGCCCTTGCGCTTTCCAGGGAAGCGCTTATTCCACTGAGTCACCTCCCTGGCCCGAAAAATTCTGTTTGTGTTTCTTTTTTTTTTTT